GCAGCAAATTGTATAACAAACAGCAACAATTTCAAGAACCTAGTTCATAAGGTAACCACTTGACTATATAATACTGTTCCTGAAAATATTCCACTGGTTGTCTGTAACTTTGTGAACCCATTTTAATATATTGACATTTGTCTCTGAAGCACCAAATGCATAAAATAATTATTTCCCTAACTATTTCCAATTGGTGTATTAAGTTCTGCTGGGAACTATTTTCCTGCTGATGGGTTTGATTCAGTGTCATCATATCAAATGGTAAGGTGTTAATAATAGGAACTCATGGAACTCTCTCATGAAAAGTATTTAATTCTCCCATAGAAAACAATGGAGGGCACACTTGTTCTTGTAGACATGTATTAACAATTACTCCAGTGTAAGACTATACTTCAATTTATGTATTATTTTGGTTTGCTATTTTTTAAACGAATTTTGTTTTGTGTTTGTATTTATTCTTAAGCATTTTTGATTTTATTGCAACGATTTTACATAAAACTACTTTCTTATAAACTGCTCTGAAAAACTGCTATACAAATGTGTGTGGTTGCGGGTGTAGATAAATCTTAAACTAAGATCATGGTCTAGATCAGTGATAGCTAACCTTTTTTTCTTGGGTGCCAAAAGCATGCCCACATCCTTAATGCAATGTCCCTCCCATGCACCCCACCCCCCCTACACATCTGCGTGTAACCCCCCCCTCCCCTCACCTCCTGTGCTCGCCCTGCGGATGATGCGCAACCCCCCCTTTTTGCCTTACATCCCAAAACAGTGCTGGGCGGGAGGAAAAGCCTCCCATCTCAAAACAGCACTGGGGCGGAAGCCTCCCATCCAAAAACAGCGCTGAGAGGGGGGGGAAGCCTCCCATCCCAAAACAGCGCTAAGTGGGGGGGGGGGGAAGCCTCCCATCCCAAAACAGCACTGAGAAGGGGGAAGCTTCCCATCTCAAAACAGCGCTGAGAGGGGGGAAAGCCTCCCATCTCAAAACAGCGCTGGGGGGGAAGCCTCCCATCCCAAAGCAGCGCTGAGGGGGGGAAAGCCTCCCATCCCAAAACAGCGCTGAGGGGGGGGAAAGCCTCCCATCCCAAAACAGCGCTGAGGGGGGGGAAGCCTCCCATCCCAAAACAGTGCTGAGAGAGGGGGAAGCCTCCCATCCCAAAACAGCGATGAGAGGGGGGGATCTCCAGAGATCTGGGAAGGCACAGGCTGTAGAAAGTGAGGCGAAAGGTATGTCCGTGCATCTCTTTCCTGCAGGGCAAACCTGAAAATCAGCTGGCGGGCGGGATGCATGCGTACTGGGCAACGGCTTGTGTGCCCACAGAGAGGGCTCCACCATCACAGGTCTAGATACTGCTTCTTTTTGTAATGGAAACAATTAGTTGGGACATGTCTATCCAGTTTAGACCATTTTAATAATTAGAATACTATTGGTATACATTCTGTGATCAAAATCTATATATATTGGAAATTTAAAAATTGTTTGAATTGGGATAAAATTCAGATGAATATAGATACTTCATAGATATTACTTAAATTCATCATTAATCCATATCCCAAATGAAATGTTCATTCTCTGCTCAATTGTCATACAATTTCCACCTTAGAAAGAAAATCGAAATGTTAATAATAGCTAACTAATATCAACACCATCATATGTTGTTTTCACAGTCAAATGCTATTTAGTCTTTGTATTGCTGGTGATTGTTTTAGAAAATTTTCAATTAATGTGTGATATTTTGTAGACTTAAAGGTACAATTTAAAGGTATGCTACTGTACATCTCATTAAAACTGAATGTTAGTGGTATTTAAAACCACAAGATGGCAGTAGAATCACATACCTTTAGCCAAATATTCATATTCTGCCTTCAACCTAGAACAAAGATGTAATGACTTAATAAAACTTTCAGTTTTTCATGTATTGTTTTTGTATTTATTGGTTACAGACATTCTAAACATTAGTCTTATAATTTTAGTATTGAAAGACAAATTCTCTTGAATCAGTAATCTTTCCCTTTGGGGGCAAAGGTCCCATTCTTTCTAAAGTTGAAAAGTCTCCATTTATATGTCATTTTTATTATAGAAGAAATTGTCCTTCTCCCAAATATTCTCTATTTTCTTCAAAATAGTGATTACTCATTTTAACCTGTCCTGGTTTTTTTGTGATGGATCCTAAATTTCAAAGATATTGCAGCTCTGTTGTGAAACAAGTTTTATAAAACACTTCATATCCTATGTATACATTGAAATCAAAGTTGGAAGAACATTTAAATCTTTAGATACAAAGTTTTTTATCCCCTCTCCAGGTCTTCTATTGTAGTTGTGCTTTTATATCTTCTTTTTTCAGAACTCTCACCTATTTTTAGCTCTCCCCCCCCCTCCTTTAGTTTCTTCTGCCATGGAATTCCTCTTATCACTGCCCTGAATGCATTAAAATCTTTTTTAAGAAATCCAATAAACATATTTGAATAGATTCACTTTTAGTGGTTAAAATCAAGAACTGCATCATAACATAATCGTTTTCACCCAGTATCTAGTTACTTTTACTTTACTGTGTACATTGCCTATTCTTTATCTAAAAGGATGTGATGTGTGTATCTTTCAGTTAATGAGGTCGCAAATGCTTGGGGGTTGAATCTTTTCACATGGATCAGAAAACCTCATATTTCTCTTACAATCACAGCAGTACCTGCTTTCGTAAAGGTTTTTTTCTCTCTTTTGGAAATTATGTTGACTTCTCTTTTCCAAACTTTGAAGTTTTATTGGCAGCCTTCTCCATTTCTCACTTTATTTTTCAATTTTTTCTAGTTATTTTTTAATAAATATTAAGTGAATTCTTATTTTTTATAACCTGTCTTGGTCTAGGAAGTGGCTTAAATGCTTAGCAGAAAAAAAACAAACAGAAAAGTTCAAGTGTATGCCACTGGGGACATTTGTCTGAGGACTGATTAACTATGCAAGAATTTTGTAACACTTAGTGAATATTCCAAGCCTAATTCCTTATATCCTGGATTCTAAAGTTCTGCTAGGCAGAAACAGAGGATTACTTAAATAGCTATGTGTTCAGATTGAGGTGCAATCTGGGGCTCAGGTTTGTACCTCTGTCCTTAAATGTTGATGGGATGTTTTTTCTTGGAATCTTGCAATGTGTACAATAAAGAGCAGCAGCGTATAATGGAATACATTTGTCTTTTTCCAAATCAGAATCTATCAAATGATCTGGAATGTAAATATTAAAATAACTGACTAGTGAAGAATAATAATGAAGAATAGGAAAACTACGTAGTATTTAAGTCTGCTTATTTAAATGTAAGGGAAATGTTACAGAGCAGTACAAAATAACAGCAAGGAAAATAAGCTATGAAAGGAACTCAATAGATAATACGGATGGGAAAATGGAATTCAGAATGCCCCCTTATAATTGTAATCCATTACAGAGCCCTTGGTGTGAGTGTAACTAGTTATGGAACACTCCAAACTGAAAGCATTTTGCACACCTGTAAGAATAAGGAGAATGATAGATATAATGGTGTAAAAGCTAGTTAAAATCTAAAACTGGTACTTATTAGAATTGCATTTTAAAAATATCAATCATAGGATAGAACCCTGTGTTCCATATCCTGATGATAAACTTCATTGTTATTCTTCTCAGTAATTTAATTAGGTTTGTGTTGTTGGTCAGTGATGTTATGTGTTGTTTTTGTTTTGGAAGTTTTCTTCTTTCTATCAATGTCTGAACTACTTTTATTTAAATCAGTTCACAGGGGAAGTGTTAATTACACATCTTTCCATCCTTCTGGCAACTTTCTCATAACAGCATCTAATGATGGAACTCTTAAGATTATGGATCTTATAGAAGGAAGGCTCTTATACACACTTCGTGGGCATGAGGTACACTTTCTATTTTGGGACTTGCTTTTAATTTCATCATAAAAAATAATTTCTATGATAAAGTTACTGTAATGAAAACCTATGTCAATTATACAGGAGCTATATCAAACTATCCTAAGACCCAACTCTCTTTATGGTTCCTAGAAGTCAAAAATAATTTAATAGCACAATCAATTAAAATATCATTTGAACAAATATTGCATCCATAATATGCCAATTAATGTAGTCCATTTAATCACCTAAACATGTTTAATGATTACTAATATATTACTTGTTTATTAACAATTTAGGAATGATTAAATAAAAGGAAGGGAGAGAGTACTAAAACAAAACCATTAGCCTTTAAAACATATTTATTTTGTTTCCCTCTGTCCTTTAAAAAAAAATAGGGTCCTGTGCTTTCTGTAGCCTTTTCAAAAGATGGAGAGACATTCGCTTCTGGTGGCACAGATACACAGGTTTGTTAAAATAGTTAAATTCTTAAGTAAATATCACTCTTCTTAATAAGTTCACTAAATACATATTTTATTATCAAATTTAGAAGAATATATTTTTCATGTGTTAATTACAAAATTATTGTCTGATGCTTTTTTGTCAGCAAATTTTCTTTTTAATTATATTACACTGTATGTCTTATTGCTTTACTATAAACTGGATATTAAGTTAAACCCTTAATTGCCAAATGAGAAGGCTGCATTCATGAAACATTAATAAATTCCTTACAGGTGCTGCTCTGGAAGACAAATTTTGATTCATTTGAATATAAGAAAGTTCTTGAAAAACATGTGCAAAGATTACATAGCGATGATCCACCTCACCTTCTGGATATTTACCCTCGGTCACCTCATCATCATGATGCAAAATCAGAGGCAGTTGAGGTAAACTATTATGACTTTTAATAACAAATTATTGGGTACAACTGGGACCTGCAATTTTTCAGTATAGATATTTCTTCAGTAATACTGACTGAACTTTTGGTCATGTTTTTCCAGAGTTTTTTAGTCATTTTCTTCTCTACCACCCACAGTTTTTATTCTTTCCCCTAAAACTGGGCATTTTATACTCAGCAAATGTAGCATTTCTCATTAGTTCAATTCTTTTCTCTACATTTTTTTTAAAGGACTTTCCCTGTTGGTTATAGAGCACAGTTGTAGTTAAGTTGGGAGTGGAGGGTACGCTGCCAATTTTAAAGTTCAGTAGTTTTTTTATTAAAATGATAGGGTGGTGAATAATGGGAACAACTCTGAATTTAAAGCCTCAAAGACTTCGCTTCTCTCACTTCTTCCTAATTACCATTAATACAGAGACAATCATATTCTAAATAGGCAAGCCAATAGGAATGCAGAAAAAAGGACAACTAGATTCTAGTATGAGTTCATGCTTGAGCACATTCAGTGACAATAAAAGCAATAACATTTATGTATGTTTAATGTGTATGGGCATTCCTACCATGGTTCCCATGATTCTATTCATAGGAGCCATGATTCTGTTCAGAGTGACATGACCCTTTTATGGGAAGGGACAAAATGATTTTGTGAATTTCCTTCTAGATAAAGTTGCTTATAACTGCTGTTGTTTGAATGGCAATTTGACAGAGCAGTGTTGGCTGAGCAACATCAAGTGTCCATTTGCAATTCATTTGAGTCTGTGAAACTTTAAGAAGACAGATCTTCTATACCATGATTTCTGCCACCTGTGAATTAAACTCATACCCCTCCAAGTCCTGCAATGATCAAGCATGACATGTGCCACTGGATTTGAAAGGTGCCAAATATCTCTTTGAGGGGGATATTATGTCATTGACCTTTAAACACTTAGTGTGCACTCTAAAAGGCCATCTCTCAGCATAGCCACGTGGAATAGAATAGAGAATAGAATAGAGACTTAACTATGGAGTAACAGATAATATAGTTCATATAATGTCAATATTAATCCCATATATAATGTACATGTACAATTTTTACATAGTATTTTATGTTAGTAGCTTATTATAGCTTTAACACACTAGATGGCATTAATGTTTAAGAATATTCTGTTGAATGGGAACCATCCTAACAGGATTTTTTTTTTAGGATCAGTGCATTTTTAAATATAGAAAGTGCTGTTTTATATTACTGTGTTGCCCCAAAAATAAGGCTTATATTACGAGCATCCTGAAAAATCATGCTAGGGTTTATTTTCTGATTGGGTCTTATTTTGGGGGAAATGGGGTAAGTAGCTTTGATTCAATAAGAACAATAAATGTGGCAGTAAAGAACATTTTATAGGGATTGACCTTTTCAGTTATATTGTTTATATAATGCTCCCATGGTATTATATCTGATATGATCACACAGAAAAGAAAGTTGAAGTGGTTTATATTAGGAGATATTAAACATACACAGATTGGAAACTTCAGCTCATACAAAAACATCTATGTTCTGTAGGAAAGATGAGAGCCTATTTTAATCTATTTAGCAAATATTTAGCAACTATTACAATAGATTACACTTACAGTAGTTTCTATGCCAATTGAACATATTGTTTTTTAAAAGTTCTTCATGAAACTATTGCTGTTTCATTGTCTGCTGGGATCTACTTATCAAGCTTCAGCTATAGTCAGATGCATCAAAGTAAAAAAAAAATTACCACAGTAAATGTTTAGGAGTGTGATGGCTCAATGGTTAAAGGTGACAGCCTGCATTCGAGAGCTGAGTGCCGTGTGATGAATTGAGCTCCCATTACTTGCCCCAGCTCCTGTCCACCTAGCAGTTCAAAAGTATACAAATGCGATAAATAGGTCGGAAGGTAACAGCATTTCATGTGCCTTGGCATATAATCATATGGCATATAATCATGCTGGCTATATACCATGGAAATATCTTCAGGTAACGCTGGCTCCCTTGGCAAAGCAATGGAAATAAGATGAGAGATAAGATCAACACAACTGGAAAGAGGAAATCTTTATCTTAATCCCTGTTTATCTGGGCGTTGGTTGCTGGAGAGGATTTTTTTTTTGTTTTTGTTTCCTTCCTAGCCTTTTTATTGTCTCTTTTCAATGGAGCAGAAATATGGTTTCTATATGTTCAGTGATGGCCGATTCATCTGAATTTCAGGCTACCATAGTATTCTTTGAATTTAGCTTGGTTAAAGATGGTCAGTTTCCCAATTGAAACTATGGTTGAATGTGTCCATATAGTTGTAAGAGATTTTTTATGTCATGGTGTCGACTATTTTGAATCCGTTTGGGTTTTAGATGTATTTTAGTGAATTTTAGCAATATTCATTATTCTTTTATAAGGGTAGTAGGGGCAATATTTTTTACATGAATAATTTGGACATAATTTTGCTTCATAAAATTTTACTTCTGCTCTACATGCAGCACAGTGTCCACTTCTTTTTATAGAATTCCTGAACCATTTTCTAGGGTCTCCTAGAGAACAGCTCTTGTTTTAGGGTTTTGTCAATGCAATGTGACAAGGCTAAAGATAATTGATATCCAAATATAATGAGATAGCCAATTGACTCATCATAGAATATGACATTAAACAAATTTCACGCTTTCACACTCTTGAGGAAAAAGCAAAATAAACTTGATATAATACAAATTGTAAGAAAAATGTAAAGAAAGTGAGTATGATTTCTTTCCTAAATATATCCTGAATATTTTGTCTTAAATATTTAAATATCTCATGTATATTTTAAGCATTCAATATTTATTTTTTAATAACAGAATAAAAGCAAATCTATTTTTCAACAGATAAATCCCAACTTTGATGTAACAAACATGCAAATATTAGATCCTCCTGTTGTAAATATTGCTTCATCGCCTACTTTTCCTCCATCATGGCAGGTAAGTTTCAAGTTACACTAATTCAGTACAAGTTAAGATTTAGAAAGCTAATATGCATGTATGGCCTCTGTGTATGACAGTTTCCTTTCTTAATTGAAATAAAATTATGAGAGAATCCTCAATTAAGTTTTAGGAGTTATTTATAACTACAAAAAGCACTTTTTTTGAAGTCATAAGTTTTTATATGCCAATATTGTGATTCTGTTTTATTTCTCAGTAAACCTCAGATGTAAAGGTATCTCATAGTCTATCAGAAGTACATAAGAAATCTGAGAATTTTAGCAGGAGACAGGCTGAACAGATATTCCCACTCCAGTTACATAGAAACGTGCCTAAACGCAGAGTAACATTTCTTCTGCTACTGATAATGAAAATACGATAGTTTTAATCACTGGTATGTGTTAGTTTAAAAACACCTAAGTGGTTGTGGTAAAATTTATCAGGAAGTGAAGCGCTCCATGATCTAAAACAATGTGAGTTTTTTTCGAATTTGAATGAATAAATTACAGCTACTCTTCATTTAGCAACTAGGTTGATTAGCAACCTTCACAAATATGATGGTTAAAAAAATTATTTTGCATCTATTGTATGCATTTATGACCTTTGCAGAATTTCCGTCTCCCTTAGAGTTAGTATCATGTATATCCTGTGGTTATTTTTGCTTATCATTTATGCTCATTAATACCTCATATCAAGGTGTCTTCAAAGAGAAAAAACTATAGTTCAGCTGAAAAAAAGTGTCAAAAAGCAAAGCCAAACCATATCTCAAAATTGAAAATGAAGATTGCAGGTTCAACTTTATAATTTAAATTGTATTATAGTTTCAATTTAAAGCTGAAAATTATGGGTGACTATTATAGCATGAGAAGAAGATCTGGCCCATTCCACTGTCTCTGCTATTTTGAAGGATAAGGAAAGGATCAGAGAGCTGATGAAAAGATTTATCAGGAATGAAAGCAGTTATAACACATGTAAGGCAGCAAAATGGCCTCATTCAGGAAATGAAAAAACTCTGTATACTTTGATTTGAAAATTAGATGCAAAAGAGGATGCCAGTTGGGCGTCTTATCATTCAGGCTAAGGCAAGCAGTATTTTCAGAACACCAAAGGAACAAGCAGATGACGAGTGCATGGAAACATTCACAGTCAATCATGGCTGGCTTATTTAGTTTCTGCAAAGATTTAATTGCCACAACAAATATACATGTCAGCCTTAGCAGGTAGACCAGACAAGAAACATGACCAAATAAGCTTGTTCTACTTTATGGTAAAACTGCATTAACAGAGTCTTGCAAGTCTGAAAGTACAGCTCCCCTCTATCTCCTTTAAGCCTTATTTGCCTTATTTCCCAAGGTCTTTTCCCACATACCATTACAACACAAGAGGTTAAGATACAAACCCGGACAAAGAAACTGCCAAACATTTTGTGGAGGAACATCAAGTTCATCCATAGTGGAAGGGAGCTATTTGCCTGAACAAACATTCAATTTAGACAAAACCAGTTGTACTGGGGGGAAATTGCCAGAATGGACCTTCATAAGCAGAGGCCAGACCAATGTCTGAATGTAAAGCATTTGAGGCTAGAGTAAAGCTACCAGTTCAAGCTTTTTGACCTACAAATCTGGTAATCCCCATGTGTCCGAAAACATAAGAAACCACACACTGTTTATTATTGATCTACTTGGAAAGTTTGAATGAAACAAGTCCTCTTTGAAGATTGATTTATGAATTGTTTCATACGCCAAGTCATAGCACCAGCATGGCAGGATATTAGCATGATATAAATGCAAGATTTTTGGGAAGAAATGTTGGTCTTGTAAATAAAATTGAAGGACTTGGCCAAAACAAAAATATGGATGAAATAAAAAAATTATACTGATGAAATCTCTTGATTTTAGAGGTTGATACTGAAAGATGTGAAAAAAATGATCTCAATTTCAGGATGATAGCCCTAGACTGAATGAGATCTTCCAAACAAAGATTTCATTGAAAGAATAATTGGTGTGGATCCAAATGTAGAATGTTTTGGAAAGGAACACCAGGAAATACATGAAATCTTAAAGTGTCAATTGTGAAATATATGAAAACAAAAGGAAAAAAACCAGGCAAATCAAATTTAGTGAGAGATTTTTTTAAGAAACTTACTCCTTCCACAACTCCACTTCCCTCCCCATCACTCTCCCTATTCAAAAGAATGGAACATCGAGATAATCCACAGTCAAGAACCAGCTATGCCAGAGGTAAAAAGAAGGATCTTTGAAAAGATTTATATCCAATTAATTTAATGTTTACAGATAATGTAAGTATAAAATTTGATATAATCTGATTTTTTTTATTTTTGTAATGCAGTATTATGCTTATTTTGTACTTATATAATAAACCAACTTTTCATACATTGAGTTTCTATTTAACATTTTCTGTTTCAATTTAGGCACTATTAGGTGCATATAAAAATATGCACACAGTATTAAGCCAAAGCTTTAAAATATTGTAAACCTTTAAATTGCCATAACAACATGCAATAACAGAATAACAGTTGAAAGGACTCTATAATATAATAATTAATGTAATAAATTATTAGTGTTTTAGGCAAAAATATGTTAGAATTAAAGAGATCTTTGAAGTAGAATGTACAAAATATTGTTAAAAATGTCCATAAAGGATAAAAGAAATTTGAGTATGGAAAATTGAAATAAATAATAAATACACTCGCAGCCAGACCTACAGTGCTATGGTTTTTATTTAGTGACTGTTTTGTTTAACCTGGAAGTGGAATGAAATCTAGATGCTAAATAAGAAATAAGAGTCTAATCGCACAAATTCAAATAAATACAGTCTGCCTAACTTTGGAAGAATAGTTGTTCGGTACTGGAGTTAGTTGTAAGAAAAAAATGGTCAGAGGTTCTTCATACAATTGTGGATCCTGCACAGTAAACTTTATTTTATAGACACTTCTCTAGAAAAATAAATACACTGTTTTTGGACATTACAGTTTAAATATTTCTAGTATTGCACAATGTTCTATTTTAAATTTTGCTCGTAGCTAAGGAGTCTGTAAATAATTTACAACTGTCCTATTTTCATAAACTCGTTATGTTAATTTACCTTGACTTCTATTGTTGTGTATCTTAGAACAAATGTTAAGAATACCTACTTTTCCCTCCATAAATGCTTCTAGAAATAGCATTTGTGGAATTTTTCTTTCACTACATTTTTCACTGAAAATCTTGTTTCAAAATTATTTGTCAGACAAATGATTTATTAACTGCTAGTTATATATTTGGACATAACTATTTACTAAATATTTCCTCCATACCGTCTGATATTTATATTTTTAAATGTATTGATATACCATATTTTTGTACTATTAGATGCACTTCCCCCCACCCCCAAAGTGGGTGGGAATGTCTGTGCATCTTATAGAGCATATTGTGGCAGGGGGAAAGGGGTTGGTACAGCAGCATTTGCAGTGGTGGCCAGGGAATGCTGGAGCCTTCACTGCCAAGCAGCTGATTGGTGGTTGGATTGGCCTCCCGGAATACCATCGATCAGCTGTTCTAGGTGGCAAGGATCACCACCGCTGATCGTTGCCCATTAATTGCCACTGCCCGTTCACCGCCACTGTTCAGTTAATTCTTAATGTGATGGATGGGCTTGATGAAGTGATACCAGTTTTCCAATGTCTGGTTTTAAGTCACTTAGCCAGAGTCTTAAATCACCATGTTCAGTAATCTGGAGTCAATTTATTTGCTTGGAGAGAAGTTAGATGACCACACTGAAGCCACGTTCCACCAAATATGGTGTTGGAAATGCAACAAGGAGCTTCTTAACCACTGTCCATAGTGCAGGGTAGCGATCAGAAATTTCTTTCTGTAACCAAAACTCTTGGTACGATTTCTAAAACTTTGGCTTCAGCTCAATGTCATTTTGCAATTCTATGAGTTGTTCCTCCACTACCTCATCTTCCTCAGTATCTGAAAATGGATTTATCACCCAATATGGAATTTCTATCAAAAGAAGATC